CCTTGCCGAGATTCCACTCGAGGCATACAACTTCGTAGTTGTTTAGGTCGACTTCGTAGTCGTAGTAGTTGGTTGGCTATATAGCCGTTTTGAAAAATTCAGTTCATTCAACAATCATGAAAAAGTCGATGCGTAAATATAGAGACATATTAGAAGCGTAAACAAAATTTATTTCATTACTGGATATAATTTGATCGTTGCCCAGTACAAAAGGAAAACTCAAAACATTGTTCTTTAAGCATAAAAACGTTTGAGATGGACAACGTGCCAAGATCGCGGTAGTTGTCGACCTTCTGCATCCTCGAGTTCGTACGCACCTCTCTCAAGCACTTTTGTGACTGTGTATGGTCCTTCCTAGTTAGCTTCTAGTTTCCCAACATGCTTAAGGGCGTCAGCCCGCTTTAAGACGAGGTCTCCTGCTTGAAACCACCTGGTTCGGACTTTCTTGTCGAAGGCTGCACGCATCTTCTGCTTATACTCCACGGATCGCAGCCAAGCTTCCTCTCGCACCTCTTCTATCATGTCGAGGGCTTCTTTTGCTAACTCTTCATTGTTCTTTTCCTCATAGAATGTCGACCTGTGAGATTCCAAGCCGACTTCGATGGGCAACAGAGCATCCATTCCATAAACCATGTGGAATGGTGATTGCCCTGTTGAACTCCTCGGGGTCGTCCTATAGGCCCATAGGACCGTTGTCAGCTCGTCGACCCAGGCACCAGATGCTTTTTCCAATATTTTCTTCAGTCCCTGCAGGATGGTTCTGTTTGTCACTTCGACTTGGCCATTTGCCTGTGGGTGCGCAACTGAGGCGAATCGCTGCTTGATCCCCATGTCAATACACCACGCCTGAATCCGCTTCCATTGGAATTGTGTTCCATTATCCGAAATCAAGATCTTTGGGATCCCGAATCGACAGCAGATATTGTTGAACAAGAATTGTATCATTTTGTCCTTGGTGATTTTTGCCAGAGGCTCTGCCTCCACCCATTTACTAAAGTAGTCGACGGCGACCAGCATGAATTTCCTTTGCCCTGTTCCCATCGGCAATGGGCCTACCAAGTCGATTCCCCATTGAGCAAAAGGGATTGGACAATTGATTGTCGTCATTGCCTCGGCTGGAATGTGGGGGATTCGACCATGGCGCTGGCATCTGTTGCATCCTTGTACCAATTGTTCGGCTGCTTTTCGGATCTTGGGCCAATACTAGCCTGCTCGAAGGGCTTTGCCAGCTAGGGCTCGCGATCCTGTACGCGCTCCGCAACACCCCTCATGGATCTCCCTCAAGACATGATTCCCTTCTTCTTCGGAAACGCACCGTAGGTGGGGTCCGACCATTGACTTCTTATATAAGACTCCTTCGATCTCAAAATATTTACTCAGATATCGGGCTTCTTTCTCCGCCTCCTGCTTATCTCTTTCTGGCACTCGACCTTGTAATTGCTCGCGAATTGCTCTTCGCCAATCCTGCTTTTCGTCAACCTCCATTGTCTCACTTAGGACACTCCCTTCTAAGTGCAGTGTGGTAATATGATTTTCTATCTTTCCTTCATTTGAACTTGCGATTCTTGCGAGCCAATCGGCTCGCTTGTTCTCTTCTCGAGGCACTTGCGTTAGCTCAAACCTTTCTAAGCCTTGCACCAGGCTCTGAATTTCCTCGACATATTTTATCATCCGATCCTCTTTGATTTCGCAATTTCCAATACTTGCCCCACAACGAGCTGTGAGTCGGAATGTGCCATGATTTCCGTTGCTCCGCCACCGACTGCCATTTGAATCCCCTTAATTATGGCTTCGTACTCTGCTTCGTTGTTCGAGGCCTTAAACCCCATTCTGATGGCGAAGTCGAGCTGTTCGCCTTCGGGGGATACTAGGACGACTCCCAGACCAGATCCCCTGGCTGCCGAGGACCCGTCAACGTGCATTATCCATTTCTTGCTTGCTCCCTTAGTCCCTTCTTGGATAAAGTCGGCCAGAGCTTGGGCTTTTATAGCTCGTCGCGGTTCATACTTGATGGAATATTCGCTGAGCTCGACCGCCCACTTTACGAGTCGACCCGACACAGTAGGTCGACCCAAGGTCTCTCCGAGCTGAAAATTTGTCCTTACTATTATGACATGGTTCAGGAAATCTGGCCTCAATTTTCTGGCTGTGATTACTAATGTTAAGGCAGCCTTCTCGACTTCGGAATATCTCGCCTCTGCGCCTTGAAGTACTCGACTTGTATAGTAGATCGGTTGCTGGGCCCCTCCAGCTTCTCGCAGTAATACAGAACTTAGGGAAAATATTCCCAACGAGACGTAGAGTACTAACTCGTCGCCCGGCTCTGGCTTTGTTAACAACGGTAGCTCGCTCAAAAACTCCTTCAACTTCTGAAACGCCATTTGAGCCACGTCATTCCACTGAAAATCTTTTTTCTTAAGTAACTTGAAGAATGGGAAACTCCTTTCCGCTGCTCGAGCTATGAACCGACTTAGGCCTGCAATTCAACCTGTCAGGACCTGCACCTCTCTAACATTCTTTGGCGGGGCCATGTCGAGTATGGCTTGCACTTTGTCCTTATTTACTTCGATGCCTCTCTCAGTCACGACATAGCCCAGGAATCGTCCTGCCCTTACTCCAAAGGCGCATTTGCTCGGGTTCAACTTCATCCCATATGCCCTTAGTGTTTTGAAAGCTTCTCTCAGATCTTCTACATATGAAATCGAGGACCTACTTTTCACCAAGATGTCGTCCACATATACCTCCATATTGCGTCCAATCTGCGACTTGAACATTCGATCCATCAATCTCTGGTACATTGCCCCTGCATTTTTAAGCCCGAAGGGCATGACGACATAACAATACGTCCCTTTACTTGTGACGAAGCTAACTTTGCTCTGATCTTCAGGGGCTAATGGGATTTGGTGATATCCCTGGGAGGCATCCATCATGCTTAGCAGTTCGCAACCAACCGTGGAATCGACTAGTTGATCAATCCTCGGCAAAGGGTAATGGTCTTTGGGACATGCCAAGTTTAAGTCGCGAAAGTCGATACACATACGCCAATTGTTCAATGCTTTTCTCACCATCACAGTGTTGGATATCCATTCGGGGAATTGGATATCTTTGATGTGCTTGGCTTTCAGCAACTTATCCATCTCGACCTCGATTGCTTTGTCTATCTCAGCCCCATGATGTCTGAGTCGTTGCTTGACGGGTTTTTTGAGAGGATCGACATTGAGCTTGTGTTCCATGACCTCCTGATTGATTCCTGTTAATTCCTCTGGGGAGAAAGCAAAGATGTCTCTAAATTCCTTCAACAATTCCACCAACTGTCTCCTTAACTTCCTCTCTGATTCTTTCCCGACTTTGGTGGTTTGGTCCTCTCTTTCTCCGATCTGAATTTCCATCAACTCTCCGTGTGGTTCCAGATCACTCCCCCTCGACCTTTTTTCGTTCGATCCCGACTTCTTTCCTTCTTTTACCTCCGTTCGTTGGTTCGTTTTTACCGCTATCTGGTAACATGCTCTGGATAGTTTTTGATCTCCTCGAGCTTCTCCCACCCGATCTCCGACTGGAAATTTCAG